CCAGGGACAGAAAAACTAATGGACATAGAAGTAATTCATAAGGGCTTGGATTTCAGCACTGGACATGCTGAATTTCAGTTCAAGTACTCAAAGGCTATTAAGAAACAGACTGTGTCTATGAATTTTCATTTAGAAGCGTATAGTACCTGCCTGTTTTTAAGTCAGTAGCGTTAATTATTAAATTAAAGTCTGAAAACCTTCAAGGTCTCATTTGAAGAGAGATGAATTAATAGAGGGAAAGGAGCCTAAGGCCTCAGAAACCCACTTAACATACTGACCTATTCTCATCATTGGCTGCTCTGAGTGGGTTGGCTTTGTTTCGATTTTAAAGGCTACTCTATATTTCTGGTAAACCACAAGGTAAAGGCTGGTCTCTGAGAAGCAGATGTTTTGCCAGTTTTGAGGCCTTGTGGCTTTCCATAGAGAAGTAACAGTACAGGCCACATGAAGCTTTTACTTCCTTTTTTTTTTTTCTTTCTTTCTTTCTTTCTTTCTTTTTCTTTTTTTTTTTTTTTTTTTTTCCAAGTAGGACGAATGGTGTGATACACATTGACATTGGTGGTCTTTGTTCACCACCAGATTTCAAATTCATATCTCTGGAAGTAGTTAGTTTGAAATGTCTCTGAGACATTCAAGCAAGTGTTCCCGCTGGACCGGAACCATAGATGTAGCCTTAGATGTAGTAAGGACAATCTTGGGTGATACTGAAAGCCAAGGAAGCAGTAGAGATCACATTGGGAGGGGGTTTGGAGAACAGAAGGCCTAGAACAAAGCCTCGAGAAGAGCTCTAACATGTACAAGTTGAGTAAAGAATCAAGACTGTTGATAGGAGGAAAATCTGCAGAGTTTGGTGCCGTGGAGCTGAGCAGGTCAACTCTGTTGTTAGAGTTCAAGATTTATTCTTTGGCTTTTACCAGTCCCTTTCTACCCTGACCACCCAAGCCCAGGCCCTTGTCATCTCATGCTTGTTTCACTTCTGCATCCCAAACCAGGGAGCTCCAACTGCCTAATGCTATAGCTATGGAGGCAAAATGATTGAAGATACACTTCTTGTCTTCTCAGGGCTGACAGACTCCATGCGTATGTGAGGCCTTATACAAATAAACAATGCCAAGTGAATGGGATGAAATGGTCAGGGAAGTTTTAAGTCATGGGGGAGGGATTTGAGCTTGGGTTTGAGGTAAGCTGAAAGTACCTTGGGTAGACTGTGGAGAGGAGTAGAAAAGATGTCCCAGAGTCTAGAATTCAGCAAAGGGTGCAGCGGGCCAGTTGCCATTACTGGACATCTGATTGGAAATGTAGGCAGAGACAGGATCCTAGGGGTCTTGAATTAAGGGCTAAGGGGCGTAAATACCATTCTGAAGAGGCCAAGGAGCTCTTTTCAAGTTGGGGTTTGAGGCAAGACAGTATGGGACTCATGGTGACGTGTGGTTTGGAAATTTTCCTTGGTAGAGGCTTATACATAGCTGGATGGGGGTGATGGGCTAATATTGTAGCTACTAGGAGAGAGATATAAGGGCTTGGCCTGAGACTAGCATCAGAATGGGTAAGAAAGGAGGGCTTTGAAAGACCTTTCTTAGGAAGAATGCTGAGGGCTTGGTGATGTGGTTGGGGCCAGTAGGAATTGGTGATGTGGTTGGGGCCAGCAGGAAAGGGCAGAGTCACAGGTAATGGTACAGTGACCGAAAACAGCTCCCTCTGTAGACTCTTATCTCCATTTTACTGAGAGAGTGGCACTGCAGGAATTGGAATTTGGACCCTGGGTTTGTATTCTGTCCTTGCTCTGAAGAGTTAGGTGACCTTGGTCTGGCTGCTTAACCATCTGTGCCTCAGCTTTCTTGTCTGGAAAGTGCAGATAGTACTAGTAATACTTCTAGGTTGTAAGGGTTTTGGGTTAATGTATGTGAGGTTCCTAGCATATAGTAGGTACTTAATAACCACTAGTTGAATGGATTATATTTGGTGATTACATCATAATAAGTCGAAGAATCGGGACGTGAACTCAAGTTTTCCCAAATCTGACACATTACCCTGATGTTTCAGACTTTTCCTCTCTAAGCTGCTGCCTTCATTGTGCCAGCCCCCCCCCCCCCCCCCTGCGCACCGTGAGTCTATTGCATGTCCTTTGGCATCAAGCTTACATTCAGATTACATAGTCCTGGCATTCCACCATCTGAGTCATGCCAGATCACCCACCTCAACTTTATATAGCCCCCCGCACCCGGAACCTGCTTCCCATTCTCCACCTCTGTGTTTCATGGAGGGTCTTCCCACCCCCCTCCACCTCTGTAAATGCTGTTGGTTCTTCGTGGTCTGGCCTGTCTCGCTGCCTTGGTGAAGGTATCCTGGACTACGACCCTCCATCCCTCTTTCTGGCTCCCCTGCTGTACTGATGAGTTACACTTCACTACTTATGCTCGGCTGAATGAAGTCTCAGATTGTTCTATAATGACCTCACACACATTTATCTTACCTTGTGAAAATGAATCACAGTTTTAATAAAGGTCTATGGCTGTCCCCTAAAAAAAATACCTCCCAGTGCTGTATGCTCAGTAATTACTTAAAGAGCAAATTAAGAAGCTGATAGCTGAGGTAGAGTTCTGGCCCTCTTCTCACACCTGGGTTAGTTATCTCACCAGCCTCCTTCTTAACTAGTCTGTGCATTGCAGCCAGTTTGTCCCTAATTCGTGACGTAGGCCACACTGCCACTGGAGCAACCCTTATCCAGTCCTTCCGTGGACGGCTCGTGCTTTTTAACTGGCCTACCGTTAGGACCATGACACTTCAGCCTGGCTTAAAGGCTGTCTGCAACCTGATCTCTCCTGCCTCTTCAGTCTTATCTGCTGGCACTCCGTTCTGTATACCCTGTCCTCCTTGCAGTTCCTAGAATGTTCTCTGTGCCCTTGCTGTCTGACTCCTCTGCTTGAAGCCCTGCTGGAGCCCTCCTGGCAGGCTTGGTCTTCCTTGTCACTTCCTCTAAGACACCAGCAGAGTAAGTTGCTTCCTTCTTCTAGTCCCATTCATAGCGCTTTGTCCCTCTGCTGCCTTTCTAAGGGCCCAGAGATTGATCCCTTCACTTGCCCACCGGCCAGACTGGAGCTCCTTGAGGGCAGGGCAGTCTTATTGCCTTGCAGCATTCCCAGAGGACACGTTCTGCACAGAGCTCAGGCTGCGTGTTGATCATGCAAGTAACAAAGGTCACTCTTCTTAAGATTAGAGGAGAGCTGCTTTCTTGTGCCTTGACAGATTTTTCTTTTGAACTATACAAACTGTATTGGAAACTGACAATGATGAGTCATATCTTAGAAAGGGGGTGAAAGCTGAAAATGCAGAGCCTCCAGGAATGGAGTAGGAGGTTGCAGATCTGTCTTGCAGGCCAAGTCTGGCTGTTCACTGAATTTGCCCGACTGGTCTCAAACACCGGGAGTGGGAGGGACTCTCCTCCCGGTGGGCAGGTGATTTATTGGCTGGGAAGCTTCCGCGGTGATTTAGTTGTGAAACGGCGCCCTGCGAGGTGCAGGCTAATGCCTGGGCCGGGCGGAGCTGCCGGCCACAATCCTGGGCCGGAAGGGACCGTGAGGGTCGTCGGGGCCACCCCCCCATTTCGCAGTCCGAGGGCGGTGGGCGTGTGGCTGTCGCGCTGCTGACTCTGCCCGCCCGGAAGGAGGACTGGAGACGGAGCGGCCTGGAAAGGGTCCCGAGTGGCGGCTCGGGCCGGCTCGGGCCCCGCGGGTGCCCTGTGCTCGCGCTCACCGCGGTAGGGAGGAAGTTTCTGCGCTCTGCTGCTCGGATTTACTCCTGCTGTTCGGAGGGAGGAAACCGAGATACCAGCGCCGGGGGCCGGAGGCTCTGACCGCGGAGCCTCAGGCTGGGGGCCAGGCGGGACAGAGCTCGGGCCGACGGGCGGCGCGGCGATCCAGGCCGCCTTTTGCAGCCTCCCGCGGCCGCGCTGGGCTTTGCGCCGCGCTCCAGCCTCCTCCCCCGGCAGCGGCGGCCCCAGCCCCGCGCCCCCCGCGCCCCGCGCCGCGCGGCCCCGCCGCGGTCACACGCCGAGCCGCCCCGGCCGCCTCCGCCCTGTGCTTTGTGGAGCGGGAGCCGGAGCCGGAGCCGAGTGACAGGCGCGGCCTCTCGCCGCCTGGACCCTGAGTGCGGCCGGCGCGGCGTACCTGTGGCTGCCGGGCCGCCCGGCTGGGAAGTGTGGCTGGGGTTTGTCGTGCGGGACCAGGCTTCGAACCGCGAGCCCCACGCCGGGGGCTCTGAGGTGGGGGTCGGGGAGCTGGGAGCTGACCCCACGGTGCTGGGGAAGGGCTGCCTGGGAGGAATGGGACAAAGTGAAAGTCTCCGGACTGCTGGGGTGGCGGGGTGGGGGGGGGGCATGGTGGGGAGTGTGGGAAAGAAGGAAGGGGTGCTGATGATTATTTGGTGCCTTGGAGTGGCTTTTAATGACGGCGGTGGCGGGTCAGGCCAGCTGGGGTTCCGGCTCCCAGTGGGCTTCTGTGGATATCGCAGTCTTCTTGGCGAATTCCTCGGATTAACGAAAGGGCCTTTTAATCCCTCTAGGATGACCTATTGGAGAAAAGTCTCCAGGTTTGATTCCTTTTCCCTCGTTTCTGCTCAACACTCTGGGAAGCTTCGTTCTCAGGTGAAAAGCAGTTGTGCTGTTTTATTGAAACACGGAGGATATTTGTTTGTATCTTCGTGGACCAATGCTGAGACTGTGGCACCGAGAGCTTGCATTGCTTCTTAGCCTCAGACCCAGGATGTCCTTCTCCCAAACCTGTCTGGTGTGTGCCATTGGGGTTCTGATGGCGGCTGTCCAGGGCCTGCCCTGGCAGGGGGTCCCAGCTCTACTGTTGAAATTGTCTCCCAGCCTAGTCAGTATTCCCTAGCTCAGACTTTTTTGTGGTTGTTATTCTGCTGATTGCAGATATCTTTGCTTTGCTGACATCCTGTTTTGTTTTTGGTTTTTACATCCCATTTGTTGTTTCTTTTTATCACAGAAACGCTTCGTTAAGGGGCTCAGGCAGTACGGCAAGAACTTCTTCAGAATTAGAAAGGAGCTGCTTCCCAATAAGGAAACAGTGAGTACAATTGGACTTTATGTAACTTGATTTTTTTCCCCCTCGTTACCCCTGCTGCTTCTCTGCACTTGATCTTACGAAATGGTTTCCTTTAACCCGGTGCTGTGCTCAGACTCTGGCTGGCCTCTAGGATCCTCTTCATTTTACTTCCTTTACTTTTAGTTTTAGCTCCTGATTTTAGATAGCAAAGTGACAGATTATGCTTATCCCCCACAAAGAAAGTTAATTCCCTTGTAAGAACAGAAAGGTCTTTGACAACAGAGGGTTAGTTGAGGGTTGTCTGGGGTGTTGAGCCATTAACATCTAATTGTAAATATAGTGGCTGAAACAGGAAATGTCATTTACCACCAATTGGATTTGGTTATTGACAGAAGTCATCAACCAAGCAATAGAATGAAGAGATCTGTGGCTTACTAGACTTTGAATTCTCTGGGGACTTTTTCTTTCTTTCATGTTACTTACGTTTTGAAGAGTAGTTTTAACTCTTTAATTTTCCAGCCTTAAAAGTTTACACTTTTCAGGCTGTCTGGTTGTCTTAGTTGGAGGAGCATGAGACTCTTGATCTCAGGATCATGAGTTCAAGCCCCACGTTGGGTTTAGAGATTACCTAAATAAATAAATAATTTTAAATAAAAGTTTGCACTTTTCATTGGACACACAGATACACAAGGATTCTTATAAATTTCTTAAATGAGTGTCTTACAAATTCCTTTGATATTTCACAAAGCTGAAATCCCATATTTTGCTAAACTCGGGGTAGAAGGGTTTGCTGAGGAAAGTTCAGGGTAGGGTTATATGCAGATAAAACTAGCAGGGGATTCAGTCACATTTACCTGAATTCCCTCCAGGTGGAATTGGAGGGGTGTGGAGAGTTCTGACTGAGCTGGGGAACGGGGAGGCTGGGAATGGAGTGGGACCGACCATGTCCTAATGTCTCTGGCCTCGGCAGAGCCTCGTTACTGGAAGTGCTTCTTGGGCCTTGGGGGTGGAGGGCAAATATCTAGACATGGAGCTGCTTTCACTCCACCCCCAACCGCCCTGAGTGGAGTTGGAAACGGAGAATATCCATTATAGAAGGGACTAGGTGGTTTTGGTTTGGTTTGGTTTTTAATTTTCTAATTGGGTGTTGTTGATTGATTTCCTCTCATTCAATTTTGATTCTTTTATTCTGAGTTGGTTCTTTTTTCTCTTCTTCTCTTTTCAGTGGGCTGTTTGTTTGTAGACACCTTTTCTGTGTGGTACCTTATGTGAACAGCAGTAACTCATAATAGGGAAGAAAGGTTCTGAGATTTCAAGCACATCCTTATATAAGTCAGTGGTTTGCATCAACCAGTCATACTTACATTAAACTTTCAATGTTTATTATACATCTAAATATGCTAAGATAGATCATTTTGAGAATGGTTAAAAAAAAGAAGGAACTGTTGATAGACATTAAGATAAAATATATGCTGTAATCGATCTATATCATCAACTTTTTTTCCTTGGGTGCGGTGGGGGGGTTCTTCCCAGAACCCATTGGAAAGAGGTATTTAATGTGGAACAGTGAAAGAAATACTGTTAAATTTTCTGAGGATTTCAGTTATTTGAAGTTTGATATGTACTTTTTATAAAACTAAAATGCTTTACCCAAGTGAAGGAATTTTGGTTTGGCCAAATTCGAATGAAAGTGAGATCCATGAGTAGATGTGGTCTGATGTAACCTCTCGGCTCCAGTTTTCTCTCTCCCTGTGCTCTGCTAGAAGTTGCAAACCATGAAGAATTTGATACAAGATATGGCTTGACAATTGTTAACTTTCTGTTTTAAAAAATAAACTTATAGTAGTTTATTTTTTAGTTAGATAATAGTTAGATTAAGTGTCGAATCTAAAATCTACTGTCCAGCATTTGGGAAGTGCCAGGCAATTTTATCTAGTGTTTTTATCTCTTTAGTGGAAAACAGATCTGAATAATTTTTAGCCTAGGTAAGGGCCTTCTAATCCTTTTTTTCCCCTTGCTCTTGATAATGTCTGACTCAATTAGTAGTGTTTCCTCACCCACAGAGAAGTCGCTGCTCTACCAGCCTTTTGAGCTGGTTCTCCAGTCTTTTCTAGGCATCTCTGTCCTGAGACCCTTCCTTCCCCATCACTGCCATCCCTGTTTTCCAGCCATGTTGTTTCTCTCCTCACTTCTCCTCTGGTACCCAGCAGCCTTCCTGTTTCCAGCCTCTTTCATCAGGGCACGACATGGGCGCTACCAGGAGAGTTGTTGGCAGCACTGGAAGGTTTATTAAGGCTGACGCTGGCTAAACGTTCCTAGTGTCCTGCCGTCTTTTGCCTAGAATTGGGGGAGTTTGGTGGTAGGGTAAATCTGTAGTATTCTAATCATGTGAGAGAGAGAGGCAGTCATTTTATATTTTCCTTAGTTATCAACATAACCAAGCTAATCATTCACAACTGCTAGGGTGGGGAGGGCAAAGGTTATTTTTCATTTTTGCTGCAGAAAATGAGAAAATCTGCAGGAACTAGTGTCCTTAGTTCAGAATTTCCTTGGTAGATAGAAAGCTTCATATGGTCATGCCTTTTTTTATATCAGATTCCTCTAATCTAGATACTTCCCACATTCTCTTCTATTTACCACAATTATTAACTCATTTATTTGCTATTCACAACTGACTTGAAACTTCAGAAGGGTATCAGCATCCAAAAGAACACGCCCAACTGGGCATGGCGTGAGGGTCACCAGACCTGTGTTCTATTCCTGGCCTTACCAGTAACTATAGTACTTGACGACCTCTTCTAACTGTGCACTGTGCTTTGAGCTGTTCATTGGGAAGTTCAGGTCAAATCCTGACAAGGACTGGAGAATTACCTACTCTAGAATGGTGTTTCTGGGGGTTAGGGGAGTGGGTAACAAGGTGATGGGAATTGAGGGCACATGTGATGTGCACTGGGTGTTATATGTAACAATCCTTGAACACTACATCAAAAACTGGTGATGTACTGCTCTACAGTGGCTAACTGAACATAGTAATAAAAAAATTAAATAAAATGGCGTTTCTTTGTCAGGATTTTATAGATGCCACAGTCTTTATGAAATGTTTGTATACCTTTGGCTGTTGTGTAAAATAGGGTGATCATTCTACCCTCTAGAATTGTTTCGAGAATTTAAGTAAGCTAATGATGCAGAGTGTATAAAAACACTTGAAGATGACAGTTCTTCCCATCCACCCTGAATACTTTTAGCCTGGGTAAGGGTCCTAGCTACCTGAAGTAGCTCAGTGCTGTGGAAGGTACGGAATTATTTTCCGCTTGTAAACATACCAGTCCTGTATGAAAAGAAATGACCTGTCCCTTATAGTCTGTCTTGGGAAAACCCCTATCCGTTGAAAAGCTGGGAGGGGTGAAGGGTGGCGCCTGGTTTAAAGGGTGTGTTTCCTCTGTCTCGGGAGTCGTGTTGAGGAGACTTGCATCCTCACTCTAGCACTGAGTGTGATTTTGCAGACAGAGGTTGCTGGTGGGCATGGACATAAACCGCTTTCCTAGTTCTTTTGGCTTCTGGTGTTTATTATACAAGAGCTAAATCTGGCTTTTCTCTGAGAACAGTGGTTGTGATTGTGGAAAACTAACTATTTATAGAAGTTTAGTTGAGTGGGTATTACAGGTTAACCTCAGGGTGCCCAAGAGAATAACTAAGTCAAATATTTTAGTATGATGGTTGTGCAGATATCCTGAGTTACTACCTTTCTCTCTCTCTTCCTTTCTCTATAACTGGTTACCTTCTTTAATATGTTTCTAAGATGTGTATTTAGTAGGAAGATTATGGCGAAGGATCTTTGCTGAGCATCTCAGATTCCCCTTGGCTGTAACCTCTTCTCTCTCAAGACACTGTTTGGCCTAATCCACATCAGAGTCTTGAGGGTTAGTGTGTTTGTGTAAGTCAGAGCAAGTGTCCCAGTGGCTGAGCTTCTGAGATGAGGGCAAGTCAGGCCTCTGGGTTCCTGCTTTGAGCACTGCCACACAGTCTTTGGATCGATGAATTGTATGACCTCCTGATGCTAAGGTAGTGCTTGAGAAAATAGGACACCTAATAGAATTGAATCTTAAATCACCAGGAAGGAAACCCGTGTTGTAAATAGTACAAAATATGGGCGTTCCAAAAATAATTTTTTGTTTTATTTTTATACACATTGCAGTTTTCTTCAGAATCATGAGATGATTACTCCGATGACAGTGACATGTATCTTCTTTCACAGTGAGCACATGTCTGTGTTTGAATCAGAGGCTTTCTGTGCCTGACACCTGGATGATTGTCCCTTGAATAGTGGCTGGCCTTTGTTTATAGCTCTAAGTCCTGTTATGCAGACAGCTTGGCCAGCGTCGGACTATAGACAGGAAGTGCTTGGTCAGCGACCTCAGGTGCGGCTGACATTGGCGAGAAGACAGCGTGAGCTGCCCCAGCTTGGCGGAGCCGAGAGGTGCTTCCAGCACGCTATTATTACCCTTCGGGAGGAGGTGGAAAAGGTGTGCGCCTTGACTATCTTTCTCATCTCTGTAGTTTGATTTTTAAGCACCTAGCGCAGTAGGGATGAAACTCGTATGGTTTGTAATCCTGGGTACTGGTGCATTAATATTTACTGTATTAAAAAATTCATTTTTTAACCCACTTTCCATTTTCAGAGCTAAACATTCCATATAGCTTCATTTTTAAAAGTTTTGTATACCCACCAAGCGCTGTAACGAGTGGGATGTCTATAATGAGAACCAAGGCGCCGTCCGTGCCCTGCGTTGCAGCAGGAAAGGCACACCATGTGCATGCTTTCCAGGTTTGGCAATCTGTGCTAAGGCCCTTGGTGGAGGCTCAGGCCCCACAAAGTGTGCACAAGAGTCTATGGGGTGGGGGTGCTGCTGGAAGGCTAATTGGAGGGTGTGGTGTTTGAACCTCTAAGGAAGGATATGTTTTTGGACAGGCCATGGCTGGGAGAGTGGAAGAAAAGCAGCTTTCCAGCTGTAGGAAATATC